TTTTTGATTTTTAAATTATTTTTTGTCTGCACTTGATCAAAACCATGTATATGTAATAAGATAGGCTTACTATGCACTAATTAGAGGAAGGACTGAATTTATTGGACACAGACCAAACAATGCTGACTTTCATCCTTATTAAACTGTCTGACAGTTAGTTGGCTAGAAGCTAAGCATTTCCCACATGAAAAGAAGGCCATTCTTCCCACCATTCCCTCAATAATGGGCATGCAATGCTTAGGTGCGCTTCTCCGCCCTTGAAAAGTCTCATTCCCTCCTAAAGAAATGGAAACCAGGACCCCGCAGCAGCGCCTATGGACTGAAATGGATGCTGCTGTCTCAGGCACCACAGTTACGATGCTAACCAGCACACTTTGGGTTAAACCCAGCCTTTGTGCCAGTCTTTCAGTAACTATGCATAAAGATAAGTACTGTTTTCGTTTTTGGCAGTACTGTGGTTTGAACTGGGGGCATCAACGCTTGCTAGGCAGGCACTTTACCACTTTAGATGCTTTTTGTTTTAAGTTATTTTTGAGACAGTGTCTCATGTTTTTGGTGGGCTGGCCTAGACCCCGTTCCTCCTATTTATGCTTCCTATGCCAACTAGGATGACAGTACCTGGTGTGTCCTCAAGCTGTGATCATCCTGATCTCCCGAGTAACTGGGATTATAGGCATAAGCCACTGCACCCAGCTAACATTAGTATTTTTCTATTCTATGGTTTTACTAAATTGAGATTATGGTAATTAAGCCCACCATCATTAGGTGCAGCTACACCAAGTACTACACAGAAGTTTCAAATCACATATTGACAACCTTCACAATAAATTCCTGAATATTATTTTCACATGGCATCTTTGTAAACACATTTTAGCTTGTAAGAAATAATCATCTGGTAATTTCTTTTCCCACTGAAGTGTAAAAATATAAAAAAAAGTTCACTTCATTTTTCAGTATATTTAAATCTTTAGCACATACTAACTGTACAAAAGAATAGGTTTCACCATGACATTTTCATATGCATATCATGTACTTTGATCATACTCACTCCCCCATGCCCCTTTCCTTCCCTCCCTTCCTCCCCTCCTAATGGTCCTATTCCTCTTCCCACATAGTCCCCTTTCTGCTTTCATGCCTTTAAAAAAAAAAAAAATCTAGATTTTGCATGTAAGAGAAAACATGGTATTTTGGAGTTTTTGTTCCTTTTGTTGAAAAACATTTTAAAGATTTTCTTCTGAGTGGTTACTTTGAAAGCTAACAATTTTGTGAATCTTAGTTTCAAACAAGACAACAAACAGCAGAATGAAAAATAAAAATGATAGTCTCAACTATCATTTTCAAAGCACAATCCAGTTAAAAATATTTCAGACTACATTCTTTAACTATGGACACAAAATAACAAACTGTATCTTCCAACAGACAAAAACTCGAAACAAAATTATAACTATGTGACTAAAACATAATATTAAAAGAAAAGAAAGCCTTTTTGTGAGCACCCAAATAATTCCTCCTCCATATCAGTAACACAAAAGCATTTCTGGCCTTCAGGTTTTGACAAATCCTGTTGTAACAACTCCCTCCCTCCCCGCCTCTCCTTTCTTAATCTCCCACAACTCAAAAAATGAGATGGAGAACCTGGTATTTATCTTCTAGCACCATCAGCAGTTTTCACCTCTCTGATTTCTATGTGGCTCTTTCTTTGCTATTTTCAAGTTAACTTGTTGGAACTTTATAAAAAATGCTCATTCTCAGAAACGAGCCTCATGTACGTAGTTTCTCTTCATCAGACCTAACTGAGGATAATTTGGAGACAACTCACAGAGGGGAGTTCAGACGCAAAGACTACCAACAAAAGGTATGGGAAATGAGACGCTTCTGGAATGCTCAGACACCTAAGTACAGATTTTCAGGTATTGTTTAGTTAGAGTTAGAAGTTATACATCTGTTTAAAATACGAGTAAATCTTGCCTAGAAAACTGGCTTTACATTTTAATGAAATCTACTAGACTTTGTTTTGGCAAATAATTCACTAATTGAATATTCCTAGGTTCTGTTCTGTGTAATGGAAATACGAGCATTCTCTCACAGACCCAAGCCTGTGTATGAAACATCTTTGCTTTTGGGTACTGCCACAGTATTTCTCTACTACCACAACCATTGAGACAAAGTATGTCTTTATTCTCTGAAAGAAATTTAAGAACAGGCCACAAACTCTATTATGCTTGTGGCTGGAGAAGAAAAAAAATCTCAGAGCAACGGAGCTAAAATGCCAGTATATTTGTATAAAGGGAACAGAAGAGTGATCTTCGTTTTAAGAGAACAAATTCTTTCTACATAAGTTCTCTTTGGAGAAGAAAGCATTTGAAGTCCAATCTTGAGCAATAACCAAGTACTGTGCTAACTAGATGTAATGTCATATTATTTACTCTCATTTTGCCTGTCTGTAATCTATCACTGCCAGGACTTGTTACTTATGATGAACAAGTTGTCTACGGGTCTTCGTGACATGAAATTTATAAAATGTATTGTTTAATGGGAAGAAAAGGGTTGTAATTGGTAAGCTGAATGCAGAATGATCAACATATAAAGGCTATTCAGCCAAAAAAGAGAGAAAGTAAGCAACAGATCTTAGGGAAAGTTAACAGCAGTCTCACTGCTATTTTCACTAGGATGAAAATGGTCTGCGGTGGCAGTAACTTTTAGCAAGTTCACTAGGTCTGAAATACTAAAACCCAAAGTTGAAAACAGCTAGTATAAAACTGTAAATATGTGCTTGTTTTTCTGTTTTTCTAGAAACTTTAACTTCTGTTCAGATTTGGAAAACAAAAGAAACTAACTATCTGATAGCAGACAAATCCTAAGCACACTGATGCATATAGCTAAGTCTGACTATTAAGAACTGAAAATCCCTAAGAAATCTAATTTAAAATTGTGGGGTTTACATTTCAAGAGTGTGAACTTTTTTCATCCATATTAGAGAATCAATGTTTTTAACTATCGGAAGTTTGTAGATTTCATATAGGCATGGATCAGTATCACCTCAAGTACTGAACAAAGCCAGACATCAGCCTTCTTGCCCAGTGAATGGAAGCTGAGCCACTCGCCCTGTTAGTGCCCTATGGAGTCCTTGGGGATTTTTTGTTTTTGTTTTTTCCCTTTCTAGGAAAGGCAGTGGGTGTAAGAGACAGCTAATACATTTTTTGTCCCAATTATAACGTTTTCCATACTTCCCCTGGGAAACACACCAGGGGAGGATTACAGCAGGAAATACTGGAGTAGGAAAAGGAAAAGATGCAAGATGAAGTGCAGTAGGAAGAGACAAGAAAAGACCTGAACATTGCAGATCCTATTGCAGGCTTAGTGGCACAGGGTGACTTCCTACCTAAACACACAACTCTGACAAAAGAATGATGCTCAGAACTATAGCCCAAGTTTCCTTCAGCTCTGAGATACTAAGAAAATAAACTAAGTCAGCATTAGGAAAAAAGAGGAAAAAAAGAAAAAGATCCGAATGTCTTTAGACAAATGGTTCCATGCATATAAAATTTTAAAAATACTACTAATATCATTTGTAAACCACTGGATTTCTGTGGTCTAGGTATTAATTCTAAGCCCTTAAAGTGTATCTATTTATTTAACTCTATGGCATGGGCATTCTAGAAGAGGATAATGTGGCCCAGAGAAGTAAAGCCAAGAACTGACCCAGGCTGTCTGCATTTGAGAGTCCACACTACCTTTTGTGAGTCACATATATATGAGCCATGACACAGCCACTCTAGCATAGCATTCAAAATTAATTCATGCAGACAAAAAAAGCCAGTACTGCAGTACTTCAGAAACCACTGTATTTTTCTCAAAGAAGGCAGTAAGCACTGCCAGATGGGATGGTAACGATGGAAGGCGAACAGGAAGCAGGAAACAGGAAACCAGCTACAAAGTAGGTACTATCTTTTCCCTCTTTAAAAAACTGGGACACACAACACACAATTTTTGGTATTCTTTTACATATAACCAACAATGCAGTTATTTCTGGAATGGACTTTTGAGATTTGCTAACATTACTTCTGAATTGTTTGCAAGAGCTGGTTTTGCACACTTTGTCAGGGTCAGGAGATGAATCTGGTCCCAACTAGAAAGGATCTCAAATTCTCATAAGCAAAAACCAGTGGTTTAATTGTGCCAGATTCAAGTACCAGGTGCGTGAAGCAAAACAGGTACTAATCTGGGTAAGGATTGAATAAATGGATACAAGCAAGAAACTGGGGGATGTCCTGCTGGTGACAGCCTTCCTTCCATTACTTTCCTTTCTCACAGAACAAGCTACTGGGTCACATGCCTGGCATATGATGGATGCTGAATAAAGACTTAAAATTAAAACCATTTCCTGAATTCTTAAAACCTTTCTAGCATATATTTATAAATCGTTTTGAAGAGGTAGGGTTAAGCTATCTCCTTCACACCTATAGAGTATTTTTATTAAAAAAAAATCATTTAAAAAAATCTACCATGCTAATGTAATTCTTCATCATATCCTACAGCTGGAATTTGAAGTATCTAAATCCTTACAAAGTACATGTTCAGTTCAAGACATTTCCAAAAGAATAAAATAGCCTTTTTTCTTTGGTGGTACTGGGGACTGAACTCGGCTTTGTGTTTGTTGGGCAAGTGCTCTACCTCCAGTCCTTTGCATTTAGCTTATTTTTCAGATAGGATCTTACTAACCTTTTCATAGGTTGACCTTGGACTGTGATCCTCCCATCTCTGCCTTCCAAGTAGCTGGGGTTACAGGCATGCACCATAATGCCCAGTCCCAAAAATTCCTTTCTTTATGCTATGATTAAACACTGCCCGTGCACAACCACTTGGAATGTCAATTACCAAGACCTGCTGGGAGCTTTTCTCCTGCACTGCAGCAGCCTCATGTGCTGTGTGTGTGTGTGTGTGTGTGTGTGTGTGTGTGTGTGTGTACAAGCATACATGCTAAACTGCAAGGGGGTTAATATTCAGGTGTGACTGGCTCCTATGTTAAAGGGACTCATTTTTGTTTACTCATTCTTTCTTCCCCTCAATTCTAATTTTGTCTTTTTTTTCCCTAGCTTTTGCTATTTGGTTCTCTAGTGCACAGAAATAGCTACAATTCTGGCTGAGTGCCATTATAATTACGCATCCAGATCTTCTAGGAGGACAGAGATAAGAGTAACAGCATGGCCTCAACATGTCTCCAGCTTCTTGCTTTCATCATGGCCTTATCTGGGTTCTCCGGAGTGCTCACTGCCACTCTGTTGCCAAACTGGAAAGTGAATGTAGACACAGGCTCCAACATCATCACTGCCATCGTACAGCTGCATGGGCTGTGGATGGACTGCACGTGGTACAGCACCGGGACGTTCAGCTGTGCCCTGAAATACTCCATTCTGTCCCTCCCCAACCACGTGCAGGCTGCCAGGGCCACCATAGTCCTAGCGTGTGTTCTGTCTGCTTTGGGGATCTGCACTTCTATAGTAGGAATGAAATGCACTCACTTAGGAGGGGATGGAGAAACTAAGAGTCACGCTTCCTTTGCTGGAGGCATCTGCTTCATGTGTGCTGGAATCTGTGGCTTAATCTCAACAGTGTGGTACATGAAGGAGATCATAGCTAACTTTCTGGATCTGACAGTTCCAGAAAGCAACAAACACGAACCTGGAGGCGCTGTCTACATTGGATTCATTTCAGCGGTGCTGCTATTCATCGCTGGCATTGTTTTCTGTACTTCCTATACAAAAAAGAATCCAGAACCTTGGCTCTACCCTCCCAACCAGGAACATAACCCTACCACACAGCTAGAGAAGAATTCAGCGTACAACCTCAAGGATTATGTGTAAATAGCCACGAAATGCATATGCCATGAAGCTTTTGGGTGCCTGCTGGGGTTTTAGTGTAGATTTTAAAAAAAGAAAGAAAACCACATTTATGCTTAACTTCCTCTAAAAGAGTACAAAATACTTAAAAACAAAAACAAAAACAAAAACCTATGATGTAGTTTCAAATGCTAGCAAGCTATCACACCCAGTTACACTTTATTTTTCCATTCTTGCTTTCATGTTTTATTTCGAGGGCTATAACTGAAAAAGGTTTTGACTACATTAATAAGGCAATTATCTAACAGCATCTCTTTCCTTTAAGATAACTTGTTGATATGTCTTCTGAATTGGATTTTATAATAGAACTTAACTGCCACATATAAAAGTACCTTGCTTGGTGTTAATCAAGAACATCACCTACATATGCCATCTGGCAGGCAATGCCCGAGTGACCTGCTTTGTTTTAAAGACACAAGGGGGTGAAGGGTACCCCATTCAGATTGTCCAAGCCCCAACCTTCACTTTCATTTCTCATTTAAAAAATAAAAAAAACAAAAACTATCTACATACATGTTCATAAGCTGACATTATTCCATGCGAACCAAGGTTAGGCAGAATATAGAAATTGGTGAATGCTGCTGCAGCAAATAAAAACCACCCTAAACACAAACTGAAATCTCTAGGACTTTTACAGCAGTAAGTACAAGCCAAGTGATAAGAATCCATGCTTGTTTTACAACTCCCTCTTCTTCTAGCAAGAGTTCATCTCTCCTATGCCAATTTTGATTCACCCCAGCCCTTTTGATTTTACATTTATCACTATTTGAATTAGATACTGTGTTTTGCTTCTGTTTGTATTCTTTGGAGACAGGTCTTACTATGTAGCACAAGCTGGCCTCAAACTCATCCTTATACCTCATCCTCCCCAGTGCTGGAATTAGGTACACATCACCATGCACAGCAAGTAAGTTACTTTTAAGTTGTCTTTTTTAGCTTCAAATTTGACTGAAGTTAACAAAAACACTGTTGTTCTCGTACAAATGACAGTTCTGAAATGCTTTCTATTTAAAGTATAACGAATGCTATTAAAGCACAGATTAAATTAGTAACTCAGGAAGTGCGAAAAATTTCTCTCATGTGAATAAATTCTCATTCATTCATAGAGAAACAAGAGACTAAAGTATTTCACACCTATTTACATGGTAAATCACCCTCTGAAGGAACACCATGAGTTTCTGATGACCAGCAAACACGACACGGTACCATTTCAGAGCAGAACTAAAGAAGGGAATCATTTCAGCAAAATGTAAAAGATTATTTAAGGTAATTATTCCTTCTGAGTGGTCAAAATATTATTTCCTGAGCAAAACAAAATTCCAGACGAAAAGGAATTTGGATAAAAATATTTATATACAATTTAATTTGATAGGACTGCTTTTACACTCATATGGTTCTTTCGCTTTGCTGAGTGCATCAGTGTTTATAGTCAGTCTATGTAGCCTGAAGGCCTACACTGTGTAATTCTATACACACTTCAAAAAATTTTTATTTACCTCAGAAACATTTTCTTTCTAACTAGCTACAGGGATGTTTCAAACTCTCAGAGAGGCAGCCATTACAAAATAAAGGTTGGTTCTTGAGGGGATGGATATGGTAATGAGGAAATGGTGACATCACAGTCATCCCTATGTGGGTGCCCACCCAGCAACTCCTCCCGCTTTATGCTAAAATGGGCCTCCCCAGTGAGCTCTCCAAGAAGCTCACAGGCTCCATTTCTCCTCTCAGAAGTGCTCCAGTTCACGAGCCTTGAGCTCACCAATGACATCTCCAATCAGAACAGAACACAACGTATCCTTCTTTAACTTTTGTATTCTCAGGGCTTATCTCGTACCAGTCCTGGTCTACATCCTGTGCATACACTAGATGGTTTAAGGCCTCCTAAGGATGCTACCCAGTGGACATGGTTCTCAGCAGCTTACAGGACTGAGGCCAAGAGAGGTTAAGTCACTCACCTCACTTATCCAAGGTGGTCCCCTAGAAAGTGAGGAGATGGATTCAGCCCAAGGGGACCAGCATCAGAGTTAAACTTCCTAGGTGCAAGCCCTACAGAACACTCAGCACATGTGACTCAATGAACATCTCAGTTTGCTTGTGCAAAAATGGGAATAAAGACAGTCCCATGCAATGCTGGTGTGAGAGTATGAGATGGTACACACCAGGCAGAGGGTGTAGACAGTATGCAGCGAGTGTCATCCTACAGTTCTCATCTAGCCCCCGGCTTTCAGTGGGTGAGTTCAGTCTGCAGGCGACATCTGGCAATGCCTGAAAACGGGCTGGTTGTCACAACTGAGGGATTGCTAACTAGTGCAAAGAGGCCAGGAGTACTGTTAAATATTCTACAATGCACAGAACAACCCTATAACAAAGAATTATCTGACCCAAAATGTCAGTACTTAGGGGGCTGAAAAACTCTAGCTCAATTTATTGAATATAACTATTTTTCCTTGATTAAAATATTACAAAAATAGAAGCTACCTTGCAGCTCTGTCAGTTCAGCTGTGAGTGCTGGGTGCTCACTGCTTAAACCTCTGTGAAACTCAATCTATTGACCAGGTTCTCTTAACTAGGGGTGCTGGAGTTCAAGTAGATCTAGCTTACTATGAAGACCTTGCCTCAAGCAGCATAAATCAAAAGAGCCCGTGACAATTCTCATATTGTATCTAAGTGACTTTTCTACTAGGCTGGAGTATAAGACAGTGATGAGACCAAAGCCCATCCATTCCCCTGGGAAGCATGTTAGACTGTGAGGTACATAACCACAGTTGTAAGACAAAAAAGAAACCCAGAATTCTGAAAGCTAATGGCTTAGTATTTCTCAAACTTGGATAATATACAAAATAGCTTAAAAAAATCAGTAGGGAATTCCAGAAATATGTGTATTCTTAGCTTGAGAAACAAGTTTTATTTTGTCATAAAAACATTTTTTGTGGATTTGCACTGTAAAAAATATCCTGTCTTGTAATTGGTAAAACAGTTTAACAGTGAAATAAAAACAAACTTTTAAAAATTCTAACTTAAGATCTATATACTATAATAAAACTCTAGTAGTTTAAGAAACACCAAAGCAGACTAATTTGTCTAATTTTAAGAAGCAAAGAAGTTGTCTTTTCTATGACTAAAGTATTTTAGGTTCAAATCTTGGGGACTAACTCAAGAAGTTAATCAGAGTCAAGTTTGGTAAGAGTTTAGTTAACTGAACCAGGTATGGTGCATGGAGGCAGTCTGTGGTTGCACATACCTGAAGCAAGAGGATAAACTGAGTCCATTAGAGACTAGCCTGTGAAACACAGTAAGACCCAGAACAAAATAAATAAACAAACAAACAAATAAATAAGAGAGAGAGAAAAAAACTGAATTTAGTTCAAGTGCTATCTCTCCAAAGAGTCTTTTTTGTTTGTTTGCTTTTTGAGGTGCCCTCACAGATGCTAGGCAAGTGCTCTATTACTGACCCATACTCCCAGCCCTGTAATAGTTCTATGGTAATAAACGTTCTGCCATTAAAGCTCAATTAAGTTGGCTAATTCAAAGACAGATACATAGAAGTGATTATGGCTTCTCATAGGAAAAAAATTCCAAGGTGGTTATAAATAAGTCCCTCATATCACAAAAAAAACTCCCTGCATCTATTTCTTAAAAGTTTTGGTGGAGAGTAAGTAAGGGATATTAGTAAACTTTTTTTCTGAGCATTATCCACCTTGTATCAATTCCCTTAGGAATGTGCCCACACCTGTTTTACATTTAGCTTACCTAACCTCGTGGTCCAGTTATTTCTGTTTAGGACTTTCCTTTCTTGCATTCAGAAGGTTCAGCCAGCGGGACAGCCTTGGCTTGTTATGTTATCATTTCTAAAAACTCTTCTCCTTTCTTGTTTGAGAAAATTAATTTTTAAAACAATTTGCTCACTGTAGACACCACTAAAATACTTTGGGCTATCCTCAGGGTCTTCCTGCTCCGCACTAATATGGTAAAGCTACTTCAGAGCAGCAGTGAATTCTTTTACAACTAGTATTTAATCAGTTGATTTATTGTTTTCCTTTATCATAATACATTCTCTTTCCTCCTTGATAAAAGCTTTCCTAGATTACAAATAAATCCCCTGCATGTAATATTTACAACACAATGAAAGCATGCAAGGAACATGCTATTAATACATTTAATTTGCCAAAAAAGTTAAAAAAAAAGTGAATAAAATAAGAGAATCAAATAAATGAAAAGAGAATTAAAGACATAGCCAACTTTATTTTCCAAATAATAAGTATTTTCTTGAGGCCTTTATCCCAGAGGAAAGAAATTTTAATTAATAAACTGCATGCATTCCTTAGCCCTAAATAATGCTGACAATCTCTAAATGAATTACTTTGACAAAGTAACTAAAACAAAGAGAAACTGCTTCTAGAGTATTTTTCAAGGAAAATACTCTAACATTCATCCTAAGAAACCCTTGGGAAAATTCAGATAGCATAATAATGCTGGATTATGGTAACAGCAATAAAAACCTATAAATTCATGATCGTAATTTCTGATATAATGGGCTTTGCACTGTTCAAACGGCTATATGCATACACATGTGCATGATGAGAAGAAAGCAAACTACACAGCCACCTGGTTTCTATCATTAAAATGGCTACCTGTTACAGAAGAGAAACTAACTAAATGCACACATGTGTTAAATCTGATGATAACCTGTAAGATATCTCTATAGTCATGAGTAGGTTATCATTAAATAATCCAATTATCCATAGTCCAGTTATTCCAGAAGAAGTCATGTACAATGTCTTTGAAATCTTGAGATACTGTGAGTACCCTGAGGTTCATTTAGAAAAAGCTAACAATTAATTCTGTTACATAGGTAAAAGAAGACTGAATTCCTGAAGTCACCTGAAAGCTCACTCAATTGTGCAGGCAAAATGGCAAAGGAAGTGCTAAGGTGATAGTAAAGAACTTGGAGTTGTCTGAGACTGTGCTCAAGATCTGCCAATAGAACTAACACTACTGGTTGGAGTCCTCATTCTAAATAATCAACATGCATCTAAATCGAAATCTATATGCCACATAATTTCCATGCTCTATTTATGAAAGTCAAATCATTTAAAGGAAACTTTGCAAGACTATGTTGTGAGAGTTTTAGGCAGCAATGAGAGATCTGCACTCCTCACCAGGCTGTGAGCTTGCTGAAAGCAGACTCAGTGTATAATAAGGTGCACATCCCCGTTGTCTTCCCCTTCATATTGCATCCCCAGCCCAGGGTTTTTCAAGCAGCAGACTCTCAATTCAGTGAAAACGTGGATGAGTTTTACAGTTCATGTTCTATAATAACTCAAGCAGTAGTTTTTGCTGTAATAGACACAAGCTTTTAAAATTTTTGGCACAGAAACTTTGTTTCTGTAATTAAAACTTATTCATGCAACCAGCATGTACTAGTCAAAGCCTAGTTTAGTAGCCAACTATTTTTCCACAAATTATTTACCACGATACTGCCAAAAAATATGAAAAACATCTGTAATAGATGTAGCTTTAGTTCTAAGCCTCTATCAGAAACCATAAAAATTTTGATTTTTTGTCTTAAGGATTGGGTGGCCACATAACTTATCTTCCACATGGGGATGCTTTGAAGAGTAGCAGGGAATAAAGGTGATGACGATGGAGCTGATTAACACCAACACATAAACTGACATTTGGCCACCAGTCTAAAGGGAGAATTATTTATGTAAGAACTATTCATATTGTGAGTTTTGTGGTTCTTATTCAAGAGAAGTTTTTTAAAAATTATGATAGTTTGCACATAAATAAATATTAGATCCTACAGATTATTTTCTAAGACACATCCTTAAGGAAATAAATATTACAGTAAAAATTCTGATTTTCATTCTAATTCCGATATACTAAAACAAGTAAGCAGAAACTCACCTCTGGTTTGGGGACAAAAGCTTGGCCTGGAATTGTAAAGAGGTGTTTCACATTGCAGAGGTACTGGGCCATAATGGAAAGACGACTGCGTTGTTTGCTTCCTGTGGTGGCTACAAGTCTCTACAGAAGGACAAAAATGAATTTTAGCAAGTAACTAACCTAATTTGATCAGACAGAATACAGCCAACATTCCATTACCTGTTATGTTGGATTTTTTTGAGGGAAATTATAAAAACAGGCTATTAGACATGATGTTTAACTAAAGATGTTTAAATATTTAATTTTCTGAATTACCTCAATATGAAGATTTTCAATGATGTACTTTCCTTTATTTAAATGTAATAAAACCTTGGATATTCAAGAATCCTTGGAGACTTGTCTATTCTTGACAATTTTTGCAAAAAAGTAGGGATCTATTCTCTTAAGCAACCAAACATTTTTATTTAAAAATTAATTAGGTATATCCAAATTCATAAATCCAAAGCAATTTTAATCAAAATCCCAGGATTTTTAAAATGGAACTTTAATTCCCAGAAATATTACATATATTAAAATTAAATTCTATTATATAAGTCCAAGACACTCCTAATGAACACTAACAATGTGGATGGGGGCAGTCACCCTAGTGGATATCAAAATTAAGGGATCACTTTTAGAGGCACAAATAGACCAATGGAACAAAACCCTTAGACATAGACCCAAGTACATTTGATCAGGACATGTGATATAGCAACTGCTAATGAGAAAAGGATGACTCACCAAGTAAATGATACTATTATAATTAGGTATCTACAGGAGGACAAAGTGCCTAGCACCTAACCAAACATAAATTCTAAGTGAACTGATGGTAAGTGAGAAGCAAAACTTCAAGATTTTTGTAAGTATCTATGACCCCCATGCTAAGCAATGCAAAAGGAAAGACCATAAAAGACTGATATACTTTAATCTATTGAAATTAAAAACTTATGTACAATAAAATAACTGTAAAGAAAAATCACAGACTGAGAGAAAGCATTTGAAAGACCAAAGGATTAGTGTTCAAAATACTTAACAAATTATTAGAGTCCAGACTGTAGAGGAAATGTCTAAATATCAGGCGTTAATAATTGTAAGAGAAACAACTAATAGAAAATATGATAAGGAAATTATAAAAGAGCACTCCAAGTGAATAAGAAGCATATACTATGTTCAACCACATAACAAAGTAGGGATATGCAAATTAAAACCACAATGAGATGCAATTTCAAATTCATTAAATAAATATCTAAAGAAAAGAACCAGCCAGAGCCTGGTATTGGCCAGTGTCTAAAGCAATAGAAACTGTCAGGCATAGCTAGTGACACCGGAAGTCAGCCCAAGCACTTTGGAGCATAATTGGGTAACATATGGAAAAGGTGAAGTTCTATAAACCCATATCATCCTTGTGTTTACCTTCTTCAGGAGTGTATCTTAGGATAGTTTACATATTTACACAAGGAGATACGTGTAAGGATGTTCATTGTAGCATATGTACATTAACAAAAAATGGAAACACATAAAAGTTCACCAACAGGTGAATGAATAATGTGGTAGTTTTACTAAAGGAATATGAACACCTAAAATGAGTAACAGGTTATCAACACAGGTTAATTTTCAAAATAGAGGAAAAATAAAATTGGCAGAAAAGTACTACCTGCTAACATTTATGTAATAAAGATACTTATATTATTTACTCTGTGTACAAATACATGTACAATACAAATAGAAAACATGCTATGGGAATGATGACTATCAATTTTAACATGGTTTCAATCTATAGGAGGGAAAGAAAGGGGATAGAAAGGAGCTAAAGTTACCCACATTTTGTTACTTTATAGAAGAAATGAATATGGCAGTATGTTAAAATTGGACAAAGCTGAGGGGTAGGTAAAAAGATTAGGCCCACTATATCTCTGAAATGTAGCCTGTCTGTGTTCTTAAGAGAGCCAAGGACATCCCAAACCTCTTGAGAATGATTCAAGGTCAATATTACAAATACCAGTGATTAGGGCAATCATTCTGGGCCATGTATGTGGCAGAGGGCCCGTGACAGCCCACTGAACTGTCAAAGGCACTGTGGGAGCTGTTTGCTGACACTGGGGTTTCCCCTTCCTGCCTCACTGCCACATGTCAGCCTACTCTAATAGGCCTTTTTACTTTGCCGCTTTTAACCTGCTCTGGGCATGAAAACTATATAATTTGTTTTGTTGGAGGTTTGCCTTAAGATTTAAAAAACAGGTTCTGTATGAAAAGCTGAGGAAATCTCCCAAGGGGAAAACTGGAGAGTTCGCAGTACCTATCTTGTTACTCCCCTTATTTCACAACTCCCACGTTTTTATTTTAAATAATCTGGTTCTTGTCTGCATGGTGACAGTTGGAATTATCAGGATGCTAAGTTCAAGAAATGCAATTTCTTTATGAAGAAAAAAATTAGCTTAATTTTCCTACTGGAATAATTGAAATACACGGTTAACTGTTTGACATCCAAGTAAAATGAAAATGTAGCATGAACATAATTATAAAAATATTTTCAAAAATGAACCAAGGAAACTGCCCAGTTTTAAATTATTATTTCATCCAGATTTCCTTCCTCTTAAGACATAGCCAATAGTTTATATTTGAAAGATGAGTTTTTAATGATGTATACAAGAGAATTTAAAAATCACTTTAACTAAAAAAGCAAATCTGTAAGGCATGGAAGTTAACTATTCAGCATATTTCACTCAGAGTGCTAAGCATGCAATAGTCAGGGGAGCAGTATCCTCACCTACAGCCCTCACTCAATCAATCTTCATAGTAAATGTATCCAGGTTATGGAGATGAAAACATGTAAGCCAGAAGTTTCAATTAAGAATCAAGCAGCACTTATAACTATCCTTAACTCAAGTGAAAATCCTAGTCACAGATAAGAAAGTCCTGTGAAAGACTTTATTAAAAGCCAGGCTCAAAAGTTAAGTGGCCTATCAACCATTCCAACATGCACTGCGATTTCTGTGATAGATAAAATTATAAGTGAAGCTATGAAATTCAAAATCCATTAGAATAGATGATTTTAACAAAAGACCAGGAAGCCAAACCAGTTAATTTCTCAGTAAAAGGACCTCTAGCCCTTGAACTTTAAAAAGCATTCTGAGTATGAGAGAAACAAGGGGTCCAAGAGTTCACAAGGACAGTATTAATTTCTTCTCTTATTCACCTAGGGTTATACTTGAGTAGCTAGGACAATTAGACCCATGTAATTAATGGAGAGATAACTCCCTCCCTGCTATGGATGTCCTTGAAATGACAGAAGACAAAGAGGCTGATGCTCCAGCCACATAGAAAACCTAAACATCATGACTTTAGCAGAAGACATATGACCTGTGCTCAAGTTCAGCTTTCCTGTAACTACTCCATGACTTTTCAGAATACAATACATTGCTCTGAGACTCAGTTTCATCAACCATAAAGTGAGGTTAGATGAGATTTGTTAAGGTCTCATTTGTTGCTACATAGTCTGGTTCTATTTTATGAGCTGTAACTTGGTACTCTATGTGTCCCCTTAATGTGTACAAGCTGAAGTCTAAAAATTTAGATCTTGTCATCCTAGAGAAGGGAGTAAGAAGAGGGTGCCCATTTGTTTCTGTTTTGTAACTCACAAAGCCCAACAAATTGAATGTTAAAAACAGCTCTCTGTGGCTAAAATACAGAATTAAACCAATTACCAGGTTAAAAGCAAAGCAGGGTCTGTAAGACAATCTGCTAGTCTCCCACTGAAATTTTCACCTGCAAAACTAAGCCAGCCAACCCAAGGACCAGTGCCATCCACACTTCTAATGCATTCTATAAATTATACACATAGTACAACTCTTCTCATTATTCATGCTAAAATTTAACTAAAACCAACCTTTGCTTAAGAAAACTGCCTCTGGTCAAGTCAAAGCATTAATATACACAACTGCTACTGTGAGTCACTGAAAATGACTCTACCACTTATGCCTCTATTCCTCTACTTTTCCCCCAAAAGAGTGAGAGTGCAAGGCACTCCATTTTTCTAGGGCATTATTCAAGAATGGAGATACCAAAATAAATACATTAGGTGAGATAAAAAAAAAAAATCCACTGATGTGGTAGGAATGAGAAACATATTTGGGCTTTGTCCCTGGTTCTAGCATGGAGCTTCTAAACCACTGGGGTTCCCTGGTAAAAGGGGTTTCTTTTGTCACTCTTGATCACCTTTTCATCCACCTGTTACTGAGGTGACAAGAGGGTTGGGCCCCTATGTGGCATCAGGATGGGGCTGGTCACCATAAAGTTCAGTGACCACTCATTTCTTCAGGTAGGTAAAGTTCTGTGAGCCATTCTGACAAATTATGGAACCTAGGTGGGCTGGATCCTGGGAACCTCTAAGCTGGCTTCCCAGAAGTCCTGGGGTCTTGGACTTGTGACTCTCAGACAATCTAATTGTAGGCTGAGCTCTCATCTTGTGAGATCTGACACTAACTACAGGTGGAAAGTGTCAGAATTTCACTCAGCTGGTGTTTGGAGACCTAAAGAACTGCTTGGTGTAGACTCATACATCTGGTGTCAGAGTGTTGTGTGTATAAACAGAATGGTTTTTGTCAGAACCAAGAAATTCAAAAGTTGAGAAAACAACAACAAAAAATTATAAGCATGGGCTCAATTCACACCAGTTAGAGAGAATCCACAGATTCATGAATAGGACCTTGAGGAAGGTGGTGATAACATCTTTAAGTTCCTATAACACAAAGAGGTCCTACATGTTTATGATAGAAAGCTCCAGAACCACTGAGAAAAAAAGTTTATGACTAAATAATCTAAAGCAAAGTTCTTCAGCCTTGGCATTATGAGATTTGGGGCTGGTTAATGCTGGGCTACTTGTCATGAGGGGAGGCTCTCCCGTGCTGGATGGGAGCCAGCATTCCAAACTCTGTCCACTAGATACCTGAAGCATCCCCAGCTGTGATAACCCTAACACCCTAGACATTGCAAATGTTCTCAAGAAGAGTGTGTGTGTGTGTGTGTGTGTGTGTGTGTAGGGGGACAGGTGAAATCAGGAATGATTTCTGTAAGAGGGAATGTAGGTAAAGACATAGAAAGCCTGAGAAATGAAATTTTCATGTATACTAAAACTATGTGAAAGGAAATATCTAAAGAATCAGCTCATATACAGATAGCAGGGTGTGTGTGTGGGGTGCAAATGAGAGACAGACCTGGAGATCTGGGAGGCCTAGACAAACAGAATTCATTTCTGTATATATTCTCTCTCTTTCTCTCCCTCCCTCCCCCACCACACACACACAGGAGTGGATGGAAGGAAGACAGACAGGACAAAGGTGTGTGTGTGACACAGAGCTCCTATATGCTATCTCCAGTTTGCTAAGAGGCTGGAGAGAGAATCTTGGGCAAGCAGTAGAAGGAAATGGAGCTCACACAAGGCAGACGTAGTCTGTGTACCCACAAGTCAAGAGACAGCACTTGAAATGCTCAGGGTGTTGGGTGGACTCCTCAGAAAGGATGTGACTTTGAGGGGTCAATTAATCCTAATTTAAAGGCTACTCTGGATCCATCAGGTAAGATGTAAAAGCATGCCTCATTTAAGAGCCAAAACAAAACCCAATGCTCAATCAGTACCATAGAACCCAGCCCAACACTATTAAAAAAAATCTTCATAATATCTGGTATCTTCTCAAAAAATTACCAGACTTTCAAAGAAGCAGACAAAATGGGACCACAGAAAGGGATGGAAAAATCCATCAGTAAAGTACTACAGAAATGACAGAGGTAATGAAACTGCTAGGTAGGATCTTAAGAGAGCTATTGTAAGGCTATGAGAGGTAGCTCAGTGGTAGTGCTTGCCTAGCATGTGCAAGGCCCTAGGTTCCATCCTTAGCACTATGCGAAAGCAAAACAAATAACCCCTCCCTCAAGCTATTATAATATTAGACACATGCATAAAAATGTCAAGAAAAGCATGATGATGAGAGAAAAGAAATGCAACTTTTGCAGATAAAACTTTTAAATGGAAAATTACTGAATAAAATTAATAGCAGAGTAGACATTGCAGAAAAAAGTGGTGAATTTGAAGACATGGTAATTGGGATTTTTATGCATGGTACTTTACTAAAACCTTTTTTCATAATAATAAAATAGCCACAGACTTACTGAATAATCTTTTTCTTCACTGTCAATATTTGATCTGGGCATTATCATACACCAAGATGTCTGATTCTGGACCTTCTAATCCAGCCATTGACCTGTCTCACACTGTATGGTAAAGCTTTACCATACAGAGAAACTCTAGGCAAGTCTCTCATCACTGTTCTTTTTGACATTTCTTATATATTCTTCCAGATGCAATCCTCAAGATGACCCTTGGAACTTCACTACATTTTAAGGTAAAGCATTTAGGATTATAATTACATTAGATATATAAAGCTTTTTGGAAAAATCAGCATCCCTTATAATCACTGTATTTTTTTCTAGGGCTATAACAGTTCTCTTGATTTTTTTTTGTGAACTTTTGAGACTTTCGATTAGGCTTTGTGGGTTTTTTTTTTCTTCTTTTGAATAGGTCTGTTTGTTTCCTTAGGTTTTCAAAATAATTATATATATCTAAATATTGTTTACTTTCCATTCCAACAAAAGTATCTGTTTTCTTCATTCCCATCTGCATTTAGTTTTCCATTTACCTATCTGTCTGTCTGTCTATCTATCTATCTATCTATCTATCTATCTATCTACCTACCTACCTATCTGTAATTCAATCCTACACTCCCCCAAGCTCATGTAACTGCTCTTTCAATACAGGCAAGATATGACTGGTATTTGATCAGATTCTCCTTTCTTAATTGGCTCTGTTTGATCTAAATGTTCCTTCTGAGGATTCCCTTCTCTGTTGTATACTGAGCCTTCTGCTTCCTGGATTTCACACATCATTTTCTTGGTGTCTCTAATCAGGGCAATGTTTATGGGCTTTTGCAGAGAGGTATTAACAGATACCACTGAAGTCCAGATTCAGTAAGTGGGGTTTAGTGGGGTTAGTTGGGTTCCATATGTCAAAAATAATAAAACTGGTTTCTCACTTCAAAAATCAGTCCCAAGTAGATTATGGAAATGTGAAATGTGAAACATAAAGTTCTTAGATGACAACAGAAGTGTATCTTCAAGATCTTGAGACAAGGATTTCTTTAACAAAAATACAAAAAAGCAAGCCAGGCACTGGTGGCTCACACCTGTAATCCTAGCTACTCAGGAGGTAGAGGTCTGGAGATCACAGTTTGAAGCCAAAACTCATCACAAAAAAGGGCTGGTGGAGGGCTCAAGGTATAGGCACTAAGTTTAAACCCCAGTACTGAAAAAAAAAATGAACAAAAAACCAAAAAAGCACCATGCCTGATCTTCAAGGCACTGTGAAAAGACAATGACACCATGCTTCAGAGCAGAAGTGGAAATGTGTAGCACATTTAAATAATAAGGGACTATTATAGAGAATATGCAGGAGCTCCAAATCAGTAAGAGAAAATGTCACCTGAAAGAAAGAGGAACAAAAGGCCAGCAGTTCACACATAAAGCACCCAAGTAACTCAACAACCAGTAAATGCATTAAATAGTGCTCAATTTCATTAAACATCAGCAAAGACAAAATAGACATGAGGACATACCATTGTAATACAGCGGGTAGTATAATTATAATATTTATAATCATTATTATATAAATAATAAACTACAGCTATGAGCAACATGAGTGAATCCTACATAAGATGTTCAGGATATAGAAACTTAAAAGTGGGCATAACTAAAGTATATGACTTACACAGATACCAACCTATGCGATAAGATGATGGAAGGGAAAAATAAATCCAAATTTCATGGTTCTGATTAGCTTTGGTGGTCAGAAGGAGGCAGAAGATGCAACTGGAGTGAGGTGGGATTATAGCATGCAGATCCCCTCCTTACCTCTGCAGTGCCCTTGCCCATGCTGGAGGTCTCCTCTCTACAGAATGCATTCTAGGAATGCAGGCACAGCAGGCGTCACTGGTGTGGAGTGAAAGTCTATATGCTAGATAATGACACTCCTGACCCCCTCCCTTTCTCAGCTCCAAAGTCATCACCAAGTTCTTGAACTATCATCCTACTAAGTGCAAAGGATCATTTCTAAGGTATCAAGGGCCAGTGTCTACTTATGAACATGTGGCCAGCACTGCACAGCTTCTGTCCTTCTCTGATAGTGTGCATGGCTGTGGTGGCCCTGCATTTACCACACTGCCCTCTTGACTGACACATTTATTCACGTTCTCCCTAAAGGCTTCCAGCAGTTATGCCTGTCATTCTCATTACATGCCCAACTTCGGCTGAGCTTTTGTTGGTTTTTCTGTGTGTAATTAACTTAGAACATTCATTTGGTGGGTAAAAATGCAGTATTATTTTGCTTTGATAAAATGGCCAGAAGAAGCTAAAACTTACCTCAGCCACTTCCTTTTGGAATGTCAAAGTCATCTGAGTTCTGCCATAAGCAAAAGGTCCATCTTTAACAGATATGTTTTCAAGCCACTTAACAATCAGTGGAGTTGAAACACTAAAAGGCAGATTCCCAATGACATGTACTTTTGGAGGATCTGTTTGGTAGGAGGAAAAAAACCACCTTGGAATAACTTCATCAATACATGGAGAATATGATTTTATATGAGTAAGACCAACTGGACATGAATAGTATCAAAGCACATGAGACACGATGGCTGAGGATTTCCAGTTCAGTAATTCTTCAACCGCAATGTGTTCTCACAGTGACTTTCTGTTACTGAGGAAAGTCCTCAGATGTCTGGCTTAGGAAATATATGAGAGAGAGCTGGTTTGAAGAAAAAGATAATTTTCTTTGGTCACAATGAGGTCAAAGTGCCTATGCGGCTGTCAGAGGGTCACATGCACATCCTATATCCCAAGTGATATATAGGATGGACATAAGATGTGAGTGCCCTCAATATTTAGGTGGGAAATGAAACTACAAGAGTGGCGCAATCTAGGCAAATCTCTAGCATGAGAAGAGAAGATGCCCAAAAAGAAAAATCTCAGAAACGACATCTAAGAAATGGGTAAAAACAATAACCACTGGCAAAGAATATGTATAGCAAGTTAACAAATGTCAAAGGAGAGCCTGGTATCAGTAAAGACAAGAGCAGAGAACTCGAGAATGTGGTGTGTTAACAGCTAAATGAGAGCAGAATGCAGTCAGATGAGGTCTGAAACAGGCAGGTCACTGCAATCCTAGCTTGGCTGAGGCAGGAGCAGAAATGTGTAGTCTGTGTGCTCAGAGGGGCCTGTTAGAAGGTGGACACTACAGAGGCAGACCACCCCAAAGGAGTCTGGCCCTGGTGAGGCCAGAGACAGCAGCAGCTAGATTCAAGTTTTGTTCTGAGTTTCTGATGAGCAAGAAACATGCTTCCCATGTGTATTCCAAAGAACTGCACACAGCAGGCACCCACCAGACACCTGCCCTTTCAAAAGAGCCTATTTGGTCCCTGAGTACGAAAGACAACGGGAAAAAGTTACAAGCTTGGGTGTGGTCTGGTTTACTAAAACACTTCAGTATTCTCATCACTTGCAAAAACTAACACTCCATAGTTCACCCCACCTTTATGTATCACTATAAAAACGACAAGGTTATTTACACAAAATAAAATTGGAAGATGTGAGACAAATCAGAATGAACAAATACTAGATTTTATATTTTAGAAGTAAAAAGCAGAAAATTAATTATATATTATTTAACTATTCAGATAATTTTTAATATATAAAACATTTAAAATGGATATATAATAAAATATTTGTGACATAAATAATGACAAAAGAAATATCTAAAGCAAAGCAAAACAACTCAAGAGAACTTACCATCTTCCCAGTTTCTTTTGAGACTCTCTGGAAAAGCCTTTTCCAACTTAAATGTCAACACATCTCCATGAACAACTCGCAGTTTTCCAGGTGCTGCATCAGAAAGCATCTAGTTTATAGAAACGTCAACAGGATGAGCTCATACACGCTGGAGAATACCAACACTAAGACATTTAAACCTGTGCACCATTAACTCAGCCAGAAAAGCCAGCGACCAGGAGCCACCACTCCTGACAGAACACAGTACCCACTACAACAGACGACTGCGTTTAACACATGAACATTTGCAACAGCTGAGAGTTTCATAAGCAATGTCAGTGTAACTTACACTAAATAAATAAATAAAATAAAAGGACTGATTCTCAAGCACTCACCAGAATGAATTTTACTTTTACACAGAATTTAGCATAAACTCAACTCCTGTCCACACGATTGTAAATCACTAAGGACACTACAATGAAATAACTGTGAATTAGGAATAGACCATACAAAAAATGAACTTAATTCAACTAAGTCTTTATAGCCTAAATACCTCCAAAGGATTCTACACCTTAAACCTTTAACTTAAGCTATGGGTAGATTCCAACAGAAAGTGCCTTGTCAATGCCAGGGCCCCCGTGGTGTCCTGACACTCCCCTGACCATGGTGTCCTTCATCTTCGTATCTCTTGATCCACAGGCACTGAAAACCTCTGAAGGATCCTACCTGCTTTCATGATTGCTATTCCTCAGCATATTTCTACTTTCCAATCAATCATTTACTTTCTCCCCTTTTCCTTTGGTCTTTCTGAGCAAAAAAGAAAAACACAGCCCTTGCTTTATAACCTTAATATTTTCTTCTTAGTATTTCTCATTCACCCGTACTCTCCCAAAATTTATGAGGTAGAGAAACCTTGCAGATTATCTTTTTTGGAGATACTGGGGTTTGAACTCAGGGCCTCAAGCTTGCTAGGCCACTTAAGCCATGCCCCCAGCCCTTTTTGCTTCAGTTTTTTTATAGCTAGGGTCTCATGTTTTTGCATGAGCTGGCCTTGGACTGCAGTCCTCTTTACCTTTGCCTCCCTTGTAGCTGGATTACAGATGTGTACCACTAGGCCTGGTTTGTTTGTTGAGAAAGGGTCTTGCTAACTTTTTGCCTGAGCTGGCCCTGAACCACAATCATCCTATCTCTGCCTCCCAAGTAGCTGGGATTACAGGTATGACCACCACATCTGCACTTTTATTAGTAAAACGTTATTTCACTAATAAATGAGACAAAATCATACAAATAATATTTTAGAAATATATAGCTGAAATGGCTATATTGGTAAGAGGCAGAACATTTTAAGTTTAGGATCATCTAGTTTGATATCATTTGCCATAGTAATTTACCAAAAATAATTGCATACATCTGTTACTATTGCACTTAAGGATTATTTTAAATCATGATTTGCTAAAACTTGACCTGGTGAGTTCCAAAAAATAAATCTTAGAACCCATAATAATTTCAATATACTACGAATTTAAACAGATAGCTCTTTATGGGACATACTTTTATTGTATAAACACTGAGAATTTAATGATAGCATTTACCGAGAAAGAAAAGGCTAAATATTTTTCTATAATTATGCTTCACATAATTAAAACAAATTAGTAATATCAAAAACAAAGAGGCAGAAGTAAAAGCTTATGTTACATACTGTCAATATATAGAAAGTAAGTAATTAGTAATTAGTACTAAAAACAAGGTAAATTTGGCTCTTTGGTGTTAATTTGTATGCTCTGATACCCACGTTAATTTTTCCCACACTCAGGCACAACAGCACATCCCAAAGCCAACACAAATACAAAGCTATCTTGCTTTCCTATGATAAAGGTTCATTTCTATTTTTTTTCTTTTGGATTCCACATTCAGGTTTTTTTTTTAATTTTTATTTTTTTATTATTCATATGTGCATACAATGCTTGGGTCATTTCTCCCCCCTGCCACCCCCCTCCCTTACCACTCACTCCGCCCCCTTCCTCTCCCCCCCACCCCCTCGATACCCAGCAGAAACTATTTTGTCCTTATCTCTAATTTTGTTGGAGAGTATAAGCAATAATAGGAAGGAACAAGGGTTTTTGCTAGTTGAGATAAGGATAGCTATACAGGGAGTTAACTCACATTGATTTCCTGTGCATGTGTGTTACCTTCTAGGTTAATTCTTCTTGATCTAACCTTTTCTCTAGTTCCTAGTCCCCTTCTCCTATTGGCCTCAGTTGCTTTTAAGGTATCTGCTTTAGTTTCTCTGCATTGAGGGCAACAAATGCCAGCTAATTTTTTAGGTATCTTACCTATCCTCATATCTCCCTTGTGTGCACGCACATTCAGGTTTAAGTCTCAGTCAAGGACAAACCAAATCAATCCTGTGAAAGGTCTATCTCCTCTTTTACAACCTTGCAGGGCCAACTTCCCTTTCTGACTCCCCACTGCAGAAGAAGTGAAGCTAGAGGCCACTGACTTATGTGAAGGCCTGAGGAGAAAAACATGCCACACTGATGATACTCAACAACACACAGACTCCCTAACTAAGTGGCAATGCTATTTATCTGAGGAGTGGGAGAGATCACTACCACAGACATTCAAGACAACCGACTGGGCTCAGAGGCACAGCTCACCATGAATGCAGGCAAATGAGCATTTATATACTCTCAATCTGTTGTCATTTTAATTTTAGTTTTCAAACCTTTATTCTTCCAAAATGAAATGTAAGACAGCTTCAAGAAAAAGGCACTCATTAACTAGACTATTAAAGAAGAAATAGAAAACCAAACCATGAAAAGAAACACTTTTACATAGAACATGACCAATAACAGTGCTATCATTAAGAGTTGGCTCTCATGATTTGCACAGTGAAATATATAATTCTTACTCTCTATTAGAACTAATTATAGCAAGTGTCCAACACAGAAAATTTTTTCTGGTATAAGGTTTTCTAATAGGTACACAAAACAAAACAATGGACATGTCTTTAATAAAAGTCAGAAAACAAATAATTCTTTATATGGCTCCAAAAAAATATCTCTTCTCTAATAAGTCAGTCTTATTGAAAGCTTTTTCTTCATGGGGCATGTAACCTGTGTAGCTTTTTGGCAATTTAAGTTGATGAGAAAAGAATTTATGTAATTCTTGGAGCTTAGGCAAAAATTTTAATTTCCTTGAGAACAAAGAACTGTTTCAAAGGGTTATTTTGTATATTTTACACCACTTTCTCACAGTAAGTGACTCATGGCAGTCAACACTCTATAACAAGCTAAGCATTAATTACCTTCTTCCTTATTTTCCAAACACTGCTAAGATAAATGCTTGCAAAAAGGCCAGGCAAAACAGTAAAGCAAACAATATGAGAAGGATCCATAATACAGAATATGATAGGTGAAAAACTTTATTCTGATGCAGAATGCACAAAAAGATGAACACGATTATTCTAAAGGAACTGATTTACAACAGACATTTTTAAGGAGAAGATGACCATGACTTTAAAGTCAGTTTGCTTGCTTTTTAAACAGGACCAAAAGGTACACAGTAGAAATTCATTTACCCAACCTCATCAAGGAATCCCATATTTAGTTTAATCAATTTTCTATTCAAATAATGTTTACACCCTTATGTGTTAGCATTTAAGAAGAAACTTACAGAAGGGAATCTTTTTAAACCACACAAATTCTTTTCCTTAACTTAAGAAATGGATGCAATTTCCCCCTTTTCTTGATGACCTTGGTCACTGGTAGACCAACAGAAAATGGCCTCAATGGTTATGGAAGTGGGTTGATCCGTTTCTACTAAGTGAGTTTCCTGGCTTGCTTCCTGCTGTTGTCAGTGGGCCCACTTCTAGCACTGATCTCTGTACTGTTAATTCATAGCAGACTAGGAAATCACCTTGGCGTAGTCATTTTTTACTTACTTGTAGAGCTTTTATGTTATGTTCAAGTTTGGTTATATCATATAAGTCACATGTGTAAAGTAAGTAGCTATGTCACAACAGAAAGTAGTCAATCTTCTAATTCACTAGAAATGAAAGAATTTCAAAATTTCATTATATCTAATGAAAAACAGCATTTTCTGCAAGAATGTCTGAATTACTATATATGTCGCTTTACTCCATCTCCTGGATCCTTGCAATATGTCAGCCTCTTTGCATCAACTGCTACCTGCCCTTGTACTATACACAGAAGATAATGTGCATGCAGGTTACAAATCAAGTAAGGAGCAAATGAGATCTGAACACCAGCCTATTTGATGATCAATCTCCTGAACTCTCATGCTTATGAAACAGAAATCACCCCTGTAATGACTTGATAAAACACAGAGGCAATACTAATAATGACCTACTTTCTGTTTCCAGAATTTCATAAAATAAGCTCATAACTTACTGATTTAAAAGAATCCTTGAGCTCCCTACTCTGGCCAGCACTGAGTATTAGAGACTAGATATATTATCCTTAAACCAATAAATAAGTGACAAAATACATGAAACAATAATCTTTGGACTTTAGATAGGAAATGTAAAAAATCCTGCAGCTCTAAGAAAGTCAATGTACCCCATGCAAAAGAAAACATCAAGAAAAGCACACAAAGGCACAACATGATAAAACTTCTCAAAACCAATGGTAAGGAAAAAAATCTTAAAAGCAACCAAACAAGGATGAAATCTTGTGTGTGTGTCGGGGGAAGGGGAGGGAAGCAAGAGAGAAGACAGGGGAGCAATACCTTTAGGGTCCTAGAAGAACAACCTGCTAATATATTTTTCAAAAACAAAGGCGAGCTGGCACTGTTGGCTCATGCCTGTAATCCTACCTAGTTGGGAGGCTGAGATCAGGAGGATTGAGTTCAAGGCCAACCAGGGCAATTAGTTCACAGGATTCCATCTCCAAAACACCACAGCAAAATGTACTGGAGGTGTGGCTCAAGTGGTAGAGTGACTGCTTTGCAAGCGCAAAGCTCTGAGTATAAATTTCAGTCCCACCCCAGAAAAAAAAAAAAAGGGAAAATGAAGGCTTTTTCAGACATACAAAAGCTGCGACATTCATCACCACACTACAGGAAATACTTAAGGACATCTTTCTGGCTTTCAGGTTTAAAAACAAATGT